CCCTTTTTGATAACAACAGTCTTATAGACAACGCCTTCCTTTGGTCTTCTTCCATTTTCGTCTAGAGATGAAGGGTCTGTCCCTTCTACACTTTCGAGCAGTCTTTGATTGTCTTCATCATAATCTTCATCGCTTGTGTCGCTAATTGCTGGTAGGTCCTAAAATGAATTCTTGCTAGCAAAATCTATTATTTTTGTCTTTTTTGAAGAAAGATATTTTACTGACTTTGCCATCCACATAGAAAAATACATGACTGACTTCGAATTCCTCATCGACCTCTGGATATTCATGAGCTGTGCGATATTTCTCTTCCTTATCAGTTGCTTTTTCATCTGATGACCGCTCCACCGAGGTATTCGTATTGCTCATCATTTCCTTATTTGATTCCTTTGATGATTGTTTGGTATTCAGCTGTAATAAATATGAAAAAATAATGGTCCTAAAAAAGCAAGCGTTTCTGGAAAAATTTTGCACCTTTTCGGCCAAATTTCTATCCGAGTGCCACAGCAAACGAACCTCAAGTTTTGCCATAGCAACTTTATGTATTTCTTCGCGAATTATTTGCTCCATTTTTGCATCAGCTGCGGCCTTGGCTTTTTCTATTTTTTGCAGGTCAGATGTGGAAGTGGATTTTATAAGTCTTCCAGGTGAACGTGAACCGGCAGATGATATTCGGCGGGGCTATAAATAATCGATTTTGAAACCTGAGTCAAAAATTTCCCGTGCCACCGCCGTTCCAGCATCGTGCAGGGGTCGATCGAATCAATGCGGGAAGCGTGCATGTGGGTTTTGACGCGGCTCTGGCACGGTGCTGGCACGATGCCGGCACGAGAATATGGACACCGTTGAACTTAAAATTACATCAAAACTCTTACCGATGTCATCACACCCGTTTCAGTCAATTTATGCTCCAGTTGCTGCCCTCCTGAGCTTCTTCTTCGTTTTGCTTTTGATCTTTTCATCATTGCCTCATTTTCTTCGTCTTCGTCCAGAAGATGACGACCGCGAGCTAGTTTTGCTGCAAAAACTTGGCTCGCCTATTAAATCTGGACAACTAAAAAATATTTTCAAAGGAAACCAGGCTTCTTTTTAATTTCATGCC